TTCAGTTCAAAATCTCCTCACACTGTTTAGTTTGGGCAAATGTTTAAGATTGATTACTTGTTACTCTGCAAAGTTCTGAATGCCATGATCCTGAATGAAACATAATTGCTTAAAGAAAATTTTAAATATTTAATAAATGTTTTCACCGGGGTTTTCTGTTCACCCTTGTACCCGGTTTTAAAAAAAGACATTTTTGTATTTGTGGCATAGCCTGTTGACATTTGCGTTGTTTTGCTCTCCAGAGAAGCATTAGCAGTGCCGAACCATCAGTCTGCTACAGAACAGCCACTTCAGCCACTCAGTAAACATATAGTAGGACCCCCTGGCAGGTTAAACAGCATTTTCAAGCAAACAATACCTACTCTGGTGAAACTTTGCTGCTTTTTTGTTTTTTTGTGCTCTTGAATGTTTCAGACTATTAGTGGGTGTCACTGGCAATATTCACTCTTTTCTGAGAAAATTGAAAAAATACTGGGAAATGAATTAATAATGAAGATAACTGGTAGTCGCAGGCCAAGAAAAGTTAACTTTATTAAAGGATCCACCCCTGAGGTCCACTTGTGCATTACATTCACAAGCTTCACTTTGAGCTCAAAGGACAAACTGAAAACATTTGCTCCAAAGCCAGTGGGCCCAGATTTTTGCCAGACCAGATGGACAGACGGTGACTCAGTGACTTTTTAAGCTGTGAGCAAGCTTCTTTTGGATCTACCTAAAGTTGATCACTTTACTGTTCTTCTCACCATCAAATGGTTTCCAGTCATATCTAACCCCTGTTCCAAGGGCAGCAGAGTAATGAAATGCTGACCAAAGCATTTGGCTCAAACCTGGAGCTAAACAAATAAAACTTTAGAGAGGGAGTTGCTCTTGAAGCTGCGGTATCCTCTCAAGCACATGCAGTAATCTTGACGGACACATCCAAGGCCGACACTCAGAGTCAGATGAGAATACAGATGCAAGCAGGGAAAGTACTAAAAGACAGCAGTCAGAGATTTACCTTCAGAGATACTGTATTATGAGACAGTGAATGCCCCATTTTATTCCAAAACTTTAAAGAGAGGATTTTTTTGTGCCAAAAATCCATCGTTAAGAGTAAATATTCTTATCCTGTGATCATATTCATTTCTGTGCATGCCAATAAAACTTAACAACACATCTGGAAACATTCTACATCCCAAAATGATCATATCTAATAGCATAACAGTATTTAAAATTAAAGTGAAATACTCCCAGAACCAAAACTAATCCAGCCATTTATT